TGAGAAATGATGTACAAATGCGCTTTACACAATTGATGTGTGTATGGATTGCGATAACAGTTGTATGAGCCCCTAATAAAATGTTAAAAAAGAGAAGAAGAAAAAATGTGCTGAAAAAACTCGGCTTATACTCGATTATATACATGGTATGTTTGTTTTTTACTAAATCTAAAAGTCATGCACTGACTGCCTCATTGTGATGCTGTAGGCCAGGGTAGATACTACCCCTGTGGATGTCCAAAGCTATAAATCTTCACAGGAGCACACAGCCTTATCTTTCTCCCAAGGAGTGGCTGGTGGGTTTGAACTGCTGACCTTGAAGCTACACCTAACTCACTATGCTCCCAGGGCTCCTTTCTAACCATGTTAGTTACAGCATATTAATATCTTCTACATAGTCATCTACAAGTCTGTTAAGCCTTTCCTAATATTTTACCCAGGAATGTTTTCTGAGCTGCAGTTTTTGTTTTTGTTTTCAATAACTTCATCAGAAGACCAATTCTGTAAAACTAGTTCTGTTCCTCAAATGGCCTTCCAGCTCTTTCCACCTGGCTGCAGGTCAGAAGGGGGAGTTCCACTTCATGAATGGCCGTGGGCACCACACCGGACTGTACACTTTCTCACTGCCATCTAGTCAATGCCGACTCATAGTGGCCCTATCGGACAGGGTGGAACTGCCCCTGTGAGTTTCCAAGAGGTTAGGGAAGTATGAAGCCCTGTCTTTCTCTGAGGAGCTGCTGATGGTTTTGAACTGCCGACCTTACAGATCAGCCCAATGATTAACCACTACACCACCTGAGCTCCTCCACTGCAAATATTAGGAGGGTTATAAAAACACGCAGTCCAATACTTACTCAAGGGTCATTTCCATACCTGCATAGTATAAAACCACGGATTACAAAGCCAATGCAAGCAAAGACCCGATGACACCGTATCAACTGCTTACCCAATGGCCGAGAGGCTCCGAGTATGCTTATTGAAGAGAGGAGTAAAGGACCCGTTACAGGTAAGGGCACTTGGACTGAGCAGGCGGTTATGGAGGTAAGGAGTCTGGAGCTGAGTTTTGAAGGAAGTGAGGGGAGATTAAGGGTTCAGAACAGGTTGTGGGACAT